CGATTCAACCATGGTATATGTCTGTCTCTTATACACATCTAGATGTGTATAAGAGACAGCCCTTATTGAGAGGAGGAAAGCATGGACTAGACCTATGATGAAGGGGAAGCACTCCCATGTTCTAGTTTTTAAGTTAATGTTTAGTGTTCTTTGATGGCCCGGTGGTAAGCATATATTATGTTCTAGTTTTATGAATCTGTATGATCTTTAGGCAGTACTTAAGGCCTACTAGGCCTAGGCTTTTGTTGTAAAAGTTGAAGTGCATGTACAGGATGCGCCATAGGCCTATATTTAAAAAAATACATTTTGTTAATTATTATTGGTTGGCCTGGGACGGACCTAGGCAGGCTGGCCAGCTTTACCGTCGGAAGTCCTGGGATTCGACGATGACGTCCGTACACGTTTACAAACGCTATTGATTAGAATGAAAATAGACGCGCTAAATTTCGTTTTTTTTTTTGTTTTTTTTTTTTTTTTTTTTTTTTTTTTTTTTTTATTGTTTTTTTTTTTTTTTATGAAAGAAAGAATTTATCGAACATTTATCTACATACAAACAAGAATAATATTGTAGAAATTGTATTTCTAAAGATATGCATGTAATTCATATTTTATTTTGTAGACGATAAATATTCAGTAAGATATACTAAAAACGATTATTAATTCTGAAATGTGCATCTCAGCTATTATTAATCAGTAGGCTATGTATTATGTTATAAAGTCTTAAAATAGTAATTTCGAATTATGCTATATTTTGGGCTCTGACTTAATTTAACGATGGCCCTATCAGTAGTAATGACAGTATTTGTGCTTTTTTTTAGCCATGTAGTAAAATAGTACTATTATTATGAGAGTCATGAAGAAGTAGTAGAAGAAGAAGAAGAGGAGGAGGAAAAAGAAGAATAGCTTTTTTTTTGTTTTATAATAATAAAATATTATTATTATATTATTAATATATTATTATATATTATATAATAAATAATTTTTTTCAAAACATAGGCCAAACTGCTTTTATAACATTATTATAGACCCATTAAACACAAAAACTGCTCTGGCTTCGGGGCGGACTCTAATATCGATTTAATAAGCCTTTGAAACACCTGAATTGTCAAAATTTTCGGGGGCTTCACCCCCAGGACCACTTTTGGAACCTATTAATTGAAGCTCGACCACGCCCACTTTGCTTTCGTGGAAGAAATCTGGCCCCTCGTCGGGGCACCGCCCCACAGTGGGCCAGAATCAATTCAAAGTGTGCCAAAAGTCGAAAATAGGTAATGTGACAACTTCAACTTTTAAAGGTTGTTTGATGTCGAGAACATCCTAAATTATATTAATCCACCAATAATTTCATAT